TTAAAACAAGTATTTTAGTTCTACACGTAATACAGATTCTTTTTATGCCCCTGCATTTACACTACGAATACATAAAATTTTGCTCTTTGGAACAGTGCAGTTTTGAGCTTAAAGAACTTTTCAACTATTGCACAAAACTGGATCAACTATCTCTCTCTTCATTTTTTACTACTCAATGAATTCTGCTGGTTTATGCATGACTATCTTCTTTACACTCATTTAAACAAGCATGGTTCACAGGCAAAACAGAACTATAACACAGGGAACAAAATTCCAGCATGAAGTTGTTTAAAGAAGGTATCTGGAAAATACTTTATTTCCAATATCATTCGCATATGGAAATACGATTTCACCCCATGTTACTTAATTCCCTTGATTATTCTCAAGAGTTATCTGTTGTAATCAACCATTGTTTCACTAGCTGATTAGCTCCTGATTTATTTTTCTCAGCAATAATGTGCAAGAGTGAAGCAGAGAGAAATAAATGTTAATAAGGAATGAGACAAACATCATTACCAAAAAATCCAGGTACCATAGTAAAATTATATGCAAAATATTAGCTTTTTTCTAAACAAAGAAATATTGACAATTTCTTTCAGGTTCAGCTGTTTTTATTTTAACAGGTCATTAGAATCTAAATTTAGCTTATATGTTAACAACTGATTAGAGAAAAATAAAATTTTATAGTTTACAATACAGGGTAAGAAATAGGTTCTACCACAGCAATTATTATTAGAAAATAGTAGTAATCTAAGCTGAGTAAGTAACAGCCCAGAAGCTACTCTCAACACGATAATGAAACAGAAGTCGAAGATTATGCTATCTAGAAGAAGAGACAGATAACAGTCCTTTCGCATAACATAATGCTCCTACTGATCTGATCTGCCAAAAACACTGACTATGGGCAGACAGAGGTAGTAGTTAAATGCCAAAAAGCAGCAATCACCTGGAATATGCTCAAATAACTGATCTTCCAAAAATCAAAACCCACTACCGAAGACAGCAGAAAAAAAAACTTAAAACAATGATCAGATTTCAGCTTTATAGAAGAAAGTGACATGAACTTCAAACAAAGTTGAATTATACACACAGAAGTAAATAACTTTAGTCAGTTTGAAAATGACTGGACAAAAAAACCACCTTTAGAAAATGTGCAACACATTTCTGTTTGTTCCAGGTTTTGCAGAGATTACCTGTCTTACATGTATCCACTGAAAGGCAGTTCTGCCAGTACAAGTACATAAGAGAAGGGAAGCAAAAAGGAAGGCCATCCAGAACACCTAAGCTACTCTCCAAGTTAATTTTCAAGAAAGGAACACTAATCACAATACAAATTAATAGAAAAGGGTTGCTGTGGAAGCTGCAAAAGAATAAGAATAATTAGTGGCTTTGGCTAATAAAGCTAAAACTATTTTTGCAAGTTTTACAAGGAACAGACAAGAATGATGACCAATTTTTTTCCTTTATCTAGCCCTCCTCTCCAAGTTAATAGATTAGGAAAAAGTGTTTTCTTCTGCTCTTTCTAACTCAGGAATACACTCTGCAATTGAGAATAGCCAGTTTACAGGATTTGTGATTTTTTACTTTTGCTGGCAAATTTGGTAGGGCCCAACTAAAGAGATTATGAATGGAAACACTTTCTCAGTTAAAGGCAAGTCATGTATCCGTGGTCAGATGCCTCAGCGTATGACAAATGTTCTGCAGAATTTGAAATGGATTGCAGTGAAATAAATTCCATAAAATATATTCATAAAAGTTGCAGTTAAATTGAAATACATTGAAATGAATCCCCTAAGTTCCTAGATGTAAATTCCATCTGTTTCACCATCTTCCTCTGAAGGCCAAAATAATTTGACTGAAACCTACTTTGACTGAATCCACTCTTCCGTTTCACTTACACCAATATAACCTAACTGCTATACTATACTACAGTAAAAAGCCTAAAAGCAACTCCCAGATTTGATATAAAACAGATTTCATCCCTTAAAGCAAATTACTTATAAGACTTACAGTAGCTCTTTTTTGGAATTAGCAGCCTGTTGACTAACAGTACTCCATTTAAACTATTCTAACATGATAGTCATAAGGCTTTGGTTTTTAAGTTTGCAAATTGCCACCTACTCTCCCCTCCTGAAGGGGTAGTCACCTTTTCACTGATCAGAAGGTGATCCAACAATGAAGTGAATTTTTTCCGTTAGTAAAACTGTTGGTATTAATACTTTTTCTACAATATACTTTCAGTAATTCCCCTGAATGAAAATGGCAGCTTTGTCAACAAACTACATCTGGACAAATAATCCTAGTCTTTTGGAAATACTTAAGAAATAGAAACAAAATCCTTGTTTATACCACTCAGTGGGCAGTATTTTTTACACATGTTGAAAAAATTCCCACTAAAATTTCCCTCTAAAACTTCCCTCTATTATAACAATATATGGGTAGAAATATCTTATAGGCATCATGCCATTTACAAGAACCGAAGTGATCAGGACAAAATTCTGCCTTATTTTGATCTGTAGCAAAACTGCTCCTTTATGTGATTTTGGTCAGCCAAATCAAGCTAGCTGATGGAAGCCAGTATTTCAGAATACTTACACATTTGTGAATTCACACCAAAAGTCTGCAGCCCCCAGAAGCTTCAAAAAAGCGCAATAAATGAGGAACTGCAAACTAGTTATAAACCAGAACAAAGACTGGAGTTAAGACAGTGACTTACACAAGAGCTGTGTTCATTGCATTTGACAGTTCAAGGTGATGCGCATCTTTTCTTTCAACAGGGCCAGAGGCCCTTCACCACTCCAGGAGCTGTGTGCTCTGCCACACCCCAGCTCCCTAGCAGTATGACGGTAGGGAAACTGGTCAGGAGCAAAATCAAGAATCTCATTGTAAGAACCAACACAAGAGGAAACCTAAAGCAATGGCAGTGCTAAACTTTAGACAAAATTTGACTTCCAAACAAATTCAAACTTATGGTATTACAAAGAAGTTCCAGCCACAGAAGAAAGGTAATGGTTTGACCAGTTCTTCCATGCTCCATTGACAAGCATATGACAAAACTACAAAAACAAAAAGTTACGTTTCCTTTCAAAGACTTATAAAAATCCAACCAGTAACATTTTCCAACTTTTGGATTTAGAAGAAGTTGGTTATGAATGATGCACAATGCAGACACAAAACTGCAGTGTGTGAAATTAGAGCCTTTCCTAGAAAATCTGTAATTTGAGCATTTAACTCAGACACACCATCATAGTACATAAAGAAATGCCACCTGGTGTGTTTATAGAATCATAGAATCATAGAATCATTAAGGTTGGAAAAGATCTCTAAGATCATCGAGTCCTACCGTCAACCCAACACCACCATGCCCACTAAACCATGTCCCTAAGCGCCTCATCTACACGTCTTTTAAATACTTCCAGGGATGGTGACTCAACCACTTCCCTGGGCAGCCTGTTCCAAGGCCTGACCACTCTTTCAGTAAAGAAGTTTTTCCTAATGTCCAGTCTAAACCTCCCCTGGTGCAACTTGAGGCCATTTCCTCTCGTCCCATCACTAGTTACTTGGCAGAAGAGACCAACCCCCACTTCACTACAACCTCCTTTCAGGTAGTTGTAGAGCGCGATGAGGTCTCCCCTCTGTTTAACAGTCCCAGTTCCTTTAGCTGCTCCTCATCAGACTTGTGCTCCAGGCCCTTCATCAGCTTCGTTGCCCTTCTCTGGACACGCTCCAGCACCTCAATGTCCTTCTTGTAGTGAGGGGCCCAAAACTGAACACAGTATTCGAGGTGCGGCCTCAACTCGGGCCGAGTACAGGGGCACGATCACCTCCCTACTCCTGCTGGCCACACTATTTCTGATACAGGCCAGGATGCTGTTGGCCTTCTTGGCCACCTGGGCACACTGCCGGCTCATGTTCAGCCAGCTGTCAACCAGCACCCCCAAGTCCTTTTCCTCTGGGCAGCTTTCCAGCCACTCTTCCCCAAGCCTGTAGCGCTACATGGGGTTGTTGTGGCCGAAGTGCAGGACCCGGCACTCACTTGGCCATGTTGAACCTCACACAATTGGCCTCAGCCCATCACTTATATGACATAAATATAAACGAGTTCAAACTAATACACGAGAAAAACTTACTCAATAACAGCAACTGAGTCACAGGAGGCTTTTACCTTCAAAACTTACATTCAAGACTCTTGTGTCAAAGCCACACTCAATTACTCACTAAAAAATCCCTTGAAAATAATGTCATAGCATTCACAATGCAGCAACAGGAACCTATGTCCACTAATGTTATTAACATTGTATTACAATCTAGGGTATTTTCATTAGGCAGGGACAGCTGTAATAATTGTATAACCACAGCTTAAGCCTTATTGGCAGTTCAGGTGGGTGGGCATTGATGTTCCTAAGGAAAAAAAAAACCACAACCAAAAAACCAAACAAAACCCCCAACCTACATGAGGCCAGTATTTGTTCTGCTTAAATTCTAAGGAACATTTGCCAAAAGTCAGAAAAATTTTAATATTGTAGAGACCAAATAGGCGGGAAAAAAAAAAAAACACTTTCATAAGAGGTTACAAAATTCTACTTTCAGCTTTCCTATTACTGCAGTGCAAAATACTTATGCAGGGCAAAAAAATGCTTATTTCATTGTATATGTTCTAACATCTTAGGCAATAGGCAAAAATTTTCTACACAAACCAGTTTTCAATTTTGCAAAACAATGATTCACTATGAAGTTAGATGCATTAACTCAAAACAAACAAAAACAAATTTCAAGTGACAAAGTGAAAACCCCCAATATTTACAGTCATCTTTCTCACAACCTTATGGGTTGTTTTATTTAATTGGTCAAGTTTTCCTTACCTTGTCAGCTGGTTACAGCTGAGAAGGAAAAAAGATTTCCGTGATTTTCATCCTCACAAAAACACTCCCTTCTGGCTGGTCAGAAAGCAAGCATCTATAGACACACTTAAAATTTTTATTTTACATATTACAACTCACCTGCTTGGGAAGCCGGAAGAGAGAATTTTTGTAAAATATATCTTTAGCCTGACTCCATGTTCCATCGATGATAATCATAACAGATGGACTAGAAGACATTACAGCAACTTCTTCCAAATTGGTTGCTTCAGCTCCAGGATACAAAATTAGAGTATTGGGATTTCTGCACACAGTTGCTAATTCAGGATACCTTCAATGCACAGACACAGAAAATGACAATAATTATTAAAAGTTTCCACGACAAATGCATACTTCCAGATATTCCAAGTTACTAACTCCCACTCATCTTCTCCAAATTTTACTTAAGTTTCAAAAAAAGTACATTGCTCAGCTACCACTTTCTCTTTCCAACACATCAAAAGTTGTTGGTTCTCCCTCAGCTCCTAAGAGGGAAGGAAAAAACCACACACAAAAGTAATCGATGAAAGCTTGATAAAGCAATATATCAGGAATATTTTCTGATGCTTTAATCATTAAGTCTTTAATGTCTATTTGAACCAAAGATGTTTTGAATTTTTTAGCAAAATCTAGCATATGTATTCTAGGAAAATTTGTTCAAGCACTTGGCACAAAAATACTACAATCATTCAATTTTGAACCTCGTATATATAAAGAACATCAGCAATTCATGGTCCACACTTACAGTACATTTTTGAAAGTTTTACCATCTCAATTTGTCTTTTTTTTTTTTTTTTTTTTAGATTACTACTTCTACAGTTACAGTCCCCAAATTTGTACATTCTTTTCTTCCTCCTGTTGGCTTCTACATTTGGCAATGGTACCAGAGGAATAACTACTAAGTGTTCACTTCATGTACAGGAAATTCCTGAAGTTTTTGCAGGACACCACTAAAGTTCATTTATGAAAATCTATGAAAGGCATTGTAATTTAAGTACTATTGGAAGCCTCAAAAACCACCTAGTCAAGTAGGCTGGTAAGGGAGGATCTGAGAAAAAGCTGGCCTTGTAACAAAGACTGCATTACTTGTCTTGAATCAATTTCAGCAGTATCATCATGTAGTCTTCAGAATCGCCTCAATAAAAAAGCAGGAAGAAATACAAAGCAAGGGCTGACTGTCTGAAGCATGTGACGAAGAATAAGAAATTAATTCTGCATAGTACTTCAGAGGTTATAAAGAGTAACTGATGTGGTAGGAGGAAAAGAACAATATGTAGTTGAAATAGCGTGTGGCTATTTGTGCTCTGAAGTGGAAAGGGAAGCCATTACAGCTTATCAGAGAAAATAAGGTGTATATCAGAACGAGATTAACAATAGCCAGCACACAAAGTGGGCTTTCCGTGCTACCTATCAAGAACCACTAGGTGCAAGAGCATGGACACAGACACAGGCAGGATGTAGATACGTAAGTTCACACAAAGAAATTCCTAATGCCATTGTGACCCCACAGCTTTTAAGCCCCAAGAGTTGGGCACCTGCACCACTCCTCCAAAAATCAAGCAAGAATCTCCTTTCTTAGGGGGGAGGGGGAGGGGAAGGGAAGGGAAAAAAAAGGTTAGGGAAGAAAGAAATGGTTAATAACGGATTTTGAGTATATATATACACCAGGTGTACTTCAAATCTGTGCACTCCATTATCACTCTCTGGGGATATACGTGAAAACAAAATTTTATCAGTGTTAGGTTCAGGCAGAATTGCAGTGCCTAAAACATTGAGATCCTGAGCTTAAGACTCATATAGGACCATATGGAAAATACCTGAAATGAAAGAGGAACTGAATTCAGTGTACCAATAAGCCCAGAGCTAGTATTCCAATATTTGACCATCCTCGCCCCCTCAAGCAAACAGTCCAGACTGATTCAACACTACATGGTTCATTACTGTCAACACTATTTACTAAAAAAAGAGTAATGATCTTTCCTTCCAAAATGAACAGTAAAAGAAGTGTAAATAGACACAGGAAATCTGTAAGATAAGTCTGTGGCAAATAGAAGTACATGGAAACTTCTCTGACCACTATTTTTTTAAACCTTACTTACATTATGGTAATTTGGTATCACTGTAGTTTAAACAAGAATCGTGCTACCCAAAATGAAAAGCAAGAAGGTATCTCACTACAGGCTACCTAGCACTCAAGGTTTAAATCTAGAAAATTGGTCACTGAGAACCCAACTCCTTGAAGAGCAAAGTATCCTAATTCTGGGATAGCAGAGCTTTCAAATCGTTAACATCTCTTAGATGATTACAAAAACAATAAAATAATGAATTCTTAAAACTAATCCAAAACCATAATGATTATGAAGCACTACAAGTTCACATTATGAACACTACAACTGAAGTCTTAGTCTTCAAAATACAATTCAGTTGTATGGTTTTCAATGCATGCTCATTCAAGAATTCCGGTCATTTCAATTTTACATGCAAAAGCAAAAGCAGGGGGGCGGTTCAAACAGATTTTGTAAATTTGTCCCAGGATTTGAGAGCTGATTATGCATATACTGCCATAAGAACTCATAACACTTTACAAACTTGTAGGAATGGCTGCTATCTTCAAAGAGTTTACTATCCACAGACTTAATCCTAGAGTGACACTGAGCACATGCAGAGAGCTATTTAGTACTCTTTCCTTTAATAGGAACAGGTTCTCAGAAATAAATGCTGCGCAACCCCTTCTAGGTTATGGTTCACACTGACAATCACAGTTCACATTAGCAGCTTTATTAAAACATGTGTCTTCCATTCATAAAACATGCTTGTTCTTCCGTCCTTAGAACAGCACAGGAGGAATGACCTAAACATAAACACCTAATGATTAGGAATATAGTTTGTATAAAACAAGTTCGAAAAATTTTTTCTATGTATTTCTATACAGGTACACCCTGTTAATTCCACTGCAGGTTTTATATTTGCTGGGTTTTAAGGCTTTGCTTCCTACTATTCTTGCTGATACATAGTGCAATTAGACTTCTTCTACTCACATACTACCACCATTAAGAATTTGTCCCCCAAAACAGTTTTTATGTACATCCTTCCTCTGCATTTAATTAGATCTGTGAAAGAAATTAAAAGTTGAATTTGCATCTGGTAAATAAAAATTAATCTGTTAACTGAACAAATTGATACGGCATTCAAAGGCAAATACATATCAACAATATCACTTTTACAGCCACTTAGCAAGAATATGCTTCTGACACGCTTGTTTTGGGTAAACGCTGTAATACAGTGTATTTAATCACATACTACTTTTGAAATACTGCTATAGGGCAGGATTTTCTCTACAAGAGTCAGATGTTTTTAAAGGAAACTTACAGGAAACAATTGTGAAAAATTAGCCATCTCACTATAATGCTGAAATAGAGCTGTTGCCTACTGAGTCCTTTTGAAAACCTGATCCACACCCTATGGTACAACTTTTTTTTCCATATAAGCTTTCACTTGTATGCTTAAGCTTACTACAGCATATAAGTAAAAAGGACTAGGAATTAGATTTCATCTTCAAAGAGCTTTACTTCTAGAAGTAAATGGATATAATCCTACTGTAAAAACACATTCAAACAATGTTAATATTGATTTTTTTGAATACCAATAATTTATTCCATTGTTTAAATACAAGAGTGATTTGAGACAAATAGTATATGGCTCATTAAAAATACAGGAGACAATTTCATTAAGGCTGATGTTTGTATTCATGACAACTCATGAAATATTAAAGCATATATGCGAGTTTTGAAACTCTCCTCAGAGCCACAGCAGAAGCTCCTTGCTCAGTCCTGTGCTACCCAGGAAAATGTATTTTTGCTTTTTATCCCTGCCTAAATTTCCCCTGCAAAACAAGGGTGGAGTAAAAAACTCAGTACCAGGTCAGTCAGCAGTCCAGATTGCCTTGTTTAGAATGACTAGACAGAAATTTCAGGCCACACACTAGATCACTGGGAGGTAGATAAGCAACTTCTTAGCAAGACACATCTCTGATCCCAAGTCCTCCAAATTGCTAAAAGCTGAGAGAGGAATTGGGTATGTCTCACCAGGCTCGTAGCCACTCTTCTGTGAGCTCTTTATCCTTTGGTGTGTTTTTTGGTTTTTTGTTTCTTTTAAATTCAAGCTGCATTTATTTAAATTCAGGAACACAGTTCTGTAGTCCAGCTAGACTTGTGTATGTGGGGAAATTAAACCCAATAGAAACACAGAGGTAAGTTAGGAGCAGAAGGCCGAATTAGGATAAGCACAAGGACAAGCTAGGAGCACAAGCACAAGCAGTCACGCCAGAATAAGCTAGTCCAAGCTACCGAATGAACAGTTGATTATGATGATGGAAGAATTTCACACAGCAGTTATCCACAGTCAGAAACGTGGTCTTGCTTTTCTTGCCATCTTGTGACATACAGTAGTACACAGTTTCACAGCATTTGTGACTCTGAACGTGGCAAAATACAACATGCCTATCATCAAAAGACATGTAGCTTTGGCAGTGCAGATGCAGAATGAGAGAGGATATTTGTGTTAGGGGCAGCAGTTGCTGTAGACGAGATAGCTGGACCACATGCCTCACAACAAAGCTTTGTTTACGAAACATCTCCACAAATGAGTGGAGGCAATGTTGGTTTATGACAACCTGGATTCACAAACAATTCAGCGAAAGAAGTTCCTCCTTTAATTGTATCTCTTCTCACCAGTGTCCAGAACATCTACACTTCCTGGCATCTTTGAAACGTCATCTGCAAATGCTTGAACATGACTGCGGCCCAATACCAGCAGACACGTCAAAGACAATGTCAAGGCTGGGCATGGTAAAGGGGCACAGCAGTAAGCCTAAGAGGCTAAACTGGGAAGGGAAGAAGAGGGTGAAGAGAAGTGTGATTGCTGGTCAGTGTTGGAGACTACTTTAAGTTACATCTTATTCCACATCATAGTCCTAGATCTTTACATAGCGCTTTTGCAGAAGCCTTTCTTAGTGTGAAGCATGACTAACTTCAGAGAATTAACGGGGACTTTAATTTTATCTTCCATTTCAGTCAGAACAGACATGCTGATGACAGACTCTTTGAAGCCACCAAATTTCAAGAGGAGATTGAGAAGCCAAATTTGTAAATAACAAGTACTTTTCTTCCTACAGATCAGAGGTTGACTTTTAAAGAATTCACAACTCCCTATCAGTCAGGGCAAAAAAGAAAGAAAGATTACATTGCTACATTTGAAAAAAATCTCTTACACAGTCTGTTCCTCCTCAGTCTT